AGAGTCACAGGACACAGGTGGGAGTGATGAGACTAATTAACCTCAGAGAAACAGACACAAGGGAGAAGAGAGTCTTGCTAATGGTAACCAAAAAGAAAAAAAATTGTCTGCAAAAAGTGTTCAACATGCCAAAATAAAAATTCACTTCTCTCCCTAGCAGTTCATTGATTTTTCACAAATGCAACACACTATAAACTATGCTTTTTATACATAGAATAATGGTAAAAATAAAAAAATACTGTGGCTCCAGGTGTTTTCTTTTTACTGCTCAACCACTGATATAAGCTGCAAAGGTTACATTGCAGCAGATGTGGGCGGGGCATGCAGTAGCTCATTAGCATTTAAAGGTAAAGGCACCCCAAAAAAACTTGTTCAGAATGGGTGTGTGAGCTCCAAACTTTGCTCTTTTTTTTAACTACCGCAGCATGTTAGCGTGTTAGCATGTAGACATCTAAGTAACATAATATGTCCTGTTAAGGCATGCAATATTTCTATCTCCCGAAGGAGGAGGGGAATGCGCATAGGAGTGCATGGAAGTCATTACACAGGCACAGCATGGCAGTGACAGACTAATGTTCATGGGTACTTAGACACACACACACACACACACACACACACACACTCACAATGCACACCAGGCATATCTGGCAAAGTGAGGCCCTAAATATAGCCACCCGAGTGTGTTATTATAACAGCAGGGGTAGTGCTCTGTTATCTCTCACCCTTCACTCCCATTGTTTTACTACTGCAGCAGATGACAGCTTCACCGAGGCTGGAGACGTTTTCTCTGTATTTGCGGCCTGTTACGCAAGATTTGCACTGCTGCTCTTTGTTTCGTTTTTTTTTTTTGGTTTTTTTCCCCCCTGTACATGTTTCCAGAAATTATTGGATGTCAGCCCTATGTGCCATACGAGAGAACCACCCCACATTGTGCTGCTGTACAGCAGTGCCCACTTTTGTTCTTTGTTCGCCGTGACAAGAACAGAGCTGACCCCAAAAAACGAGACGGCCGAACAGTTGCTAACGGACGGAAATGAGTTCCTTTAGGGATCAGAACGCCTTTGAGTGAATAAATGAGGATGGTCAGGAGAATCGTTACGAGGGCCATTGTTGTGTGTCGATCTATGGACAGTTCAATAGACGCAAATGCCAAGCTCAGCTTTTCCACTGCTTCGTTTACAACCAAAACAAACACTGATGATTGGGAGGTCAGAAAGGATTAAACATTCCGAGATCCGTTTGTCATTACATAATTCACTCATCGTTCATAGGACTAGGACCTAGCATTCCTGTTGCGACAAATGAACAACCCAACTCTGACGCAATTGAAATTTGGATTTGAACCTGTCAGATATGGTGCACATATCCGTCTTGCTTTTCCTCAAAATAAGTTAACAATTAGTTAACAATTAATAAGTAACAATTTAAAATTCTCTCTCTCTCTCTCTCTTATCTATCTATCTGCCTATCTCTCTCTCTCTCTCTATTATCTATCTATCTACCTCTCTCTCTCCCTCCATCTCTCTCTCTCTCTCTCTCTATCTAGCTATCTCTCTGTCTCTCCCTCTATCTATCATCTATCTATCTACCTATCTATCGTACTTACATCCATACAGTCTTCCATGGGAGACTATGGTATTGTATTGTATTGCTGATGACTTTGACAGCCCGGCCATAGAAGATGCCTTGCCGTAGTGAAGGGTCACAGGAGGACGATCGGTGTAAGATTATTGAAGGAAAGAGACGAAGTGAGACAGAGGCAGATGATCCACTCTGGCGACCCCCGGAGGGAGCAGTTAAAGAAAGTATTTTGGCTTCCCAGTGTCTTAGGCCTTAAAGCAATCAATGCTTGTGTCCAAATCACCAGTTCGAATCCAACATGAGTCATGATTCCTGGAAATCAGGATGAGTATTAGACATGAGTCTGAGTTCTGGAATTGAACGTTACGACAGTGAAAAGAATGCCTCTACATAATAAAATATTCGGTGAATATAGTTGTCCAACACTTAGACCATTACGCACGCCACGTGTGCGCCATCTATAGTGCAGACTGTTGTGCGTTAACTATCTAAGCATCTCTACGCGTTTACGAAGGCGCTTTAATGCATCACATGGCGAATAAACACGGCCTACATTAGATCACAGATGACTTGTCAAACAAGCATGACTCAGATTTTCCAGACATGAAACACCAAGGGCAACTTCAGCAGAATACTACAGACTAACTGCAACCATATGGGTATATTTGTGTGCACGCAATTGAGAAGCAGCTTGACTATACTGTGTGTGTGTGTGTGTGTGTTTGTAATGGTATTCACCACGCTGTAGGGACAAACATCAGTTTTCACATTCACATCCTAAGAAACTACTGCACCGTGCCACGCTGTAGGGACAAACATCAGTTCACATCCTAAGAAACTACTGCACCGTAGGTCAAAGGTCAGGTCCCTGCTATCATAAATATCAATGATCCAGTATGGAATAATTACAACTTGCGAAATGATTCAGATGATTTTTTTTCCAAGTGCAATTCGTTGGCTGTTAGTGTAGGATGTCGTCAGTTTGCTAATTCCTAATTCATTTTGGCTTTAATTTGTGTTATTGTTACTCATTGTTTTGAAAATGTAATTGACCAAATCAAATACTGTCCAACTTTAACAAATGATTACTAACATATTGGCCTTTTTTGTTTTGATTAATTTGTTGCTATTCCAGTACACACATATATATGTATATATATATTTATACATATATATACATGTTTGTGTATACGTATATTTACGCATATATACTGTATGTATATGTATATACATATTAAAATGATTCAAAATATATATGCAGCATACTGTACATATATACACATATAATGTACATATATACACACATATATGTTCTATAAATTTTAAATTTTGCTTATTTTACTTTAATTGCAGTATCTCTTTTTTTAAGAGTCGTGCACTGCCGGTCACGCAAGAGGTTCTGGGTTTGATTCCACCAGAATTACAAGACGTCGTCCCTAAAAACAAGCACATCAGTCTCTGCATGTGTTTTCTTGCGGTGGTCCTGCCCTGTGCTTGTCATGTTTCCAGACACGTGTATTATCGGTACGTTTAAGGTAAACTTCTCATTGGTCTAACATTCTTTCCCCTGGAAGTGACCAGGTCGAGAGGTCAAACAGGATTTCCCTCAAAGGTAGCAGTCGACTTCACAAATATAGATCTGAAAACAAACATGTTGTTGGAGAGAGGGCCACAGGAAAAGCCGGACAAAGCATTAATGACGCAGCGGCTGAAAATAAATAGTATTTTTCATCGCTCACCAGACGTTAAAGCTCTTCCTGGCTAATGCTGTTTTGTTTGGTTCCCAAGACTCCTGCTTAACGCATGATGAGACTCTGCTGCTGTAAATTACAGTGAAACAGTAACTGCTGGAAAACGTCTACATTTGAGTACAAACACAACATGCTCATGTACCTCCAAAAGGTGATTGTCATCCTCATGTTCAGATGGCTCTCACTGAAATTATTATTTACAGTGGAGACACACGGCAAAATAATTTTATGACACCCTGAAAGAGTAAAAGCTTTAACTAACTAACATGTTGCAAAGTCATGTGCAATGTCAAAACCCAGGTTGACAGAAGTACAACAAAAAGGATAACAGTGATTGTTGTCCAACTTGATGACAACACTGACATAAGACACATCTCTCATCCATCATCACTTATTACATGTGATTATTGTGATATTATTTGTCATCCAGGTAATTTCTCTCCTTGGAAGTATGGAAGAGGCATTTTTTTTACATCCTTGGTAGGGATATCCGATAATATCGGCGGACCAATATTATCGGGCTGATATCAGCATCGATAATGATGACACAATGCCTTGGTTTAGCCAAATGATGTGCCATAAAAATTGTTTTGGAGATAAAAAGGCTGTATCTTGAAGTAAAAGTCACTAGATGGCAGCATTGCAGCTCATTTCATTAATCTCAGACTCAGTGAGTAATGGTGAAAGATTATTTTACATACTCAAAAGCAGAATTTAGCAGTAAAACTATGAATATAATGACCTTTCAAAGGGTAATGGACAATATTATCTATATATATGTTTTAGAAATTACTCAAATATGTATTAATTATGATATCTTGGTGCTAATAAATTTAAATTTAGAAAAATGAATTGAAAATGTATTTACATTGGCACAAAAATTGGCATAGTTTACAATTATGGAATCTGCTGCTGTGATTACAGACGAATAAATGCTAAATATTTTGCAGTTATCAGAATAAAAAACTGACGAGGTTACAGTATAGAAATTTTAAGGCCCTTTGCTGACCCCTGCAGGCTGAGCTACCATATGACAATATCCTGTCCAATATCCATAGTGTGCTAATTAGAATTCGATTATTGCATTTATTTCCTCGTTTTCCTGGTGAGTATTGATGATGTATTTGAATATCAGTCAGGTCAATTAAAAATGTTTCATTTAAAAATATCACAAATTGAAGTTCATCAAGAGCAGGTCAAAATCATGGAATACAAATAAAAAAATATGTCTTGGGTGAACGTTCTCATCTGAATCGTTTAAAATAAGCAGTGTTGTATGTAGATTTATGGAAATATTGGGATATGACCATGATATTTATTTCAAACGTGGACACTGGGGACTTATCGTGTCAGGGGGCCCAGATTTATGTACAAAACTTTGGAGATAATCTAAAAAAAAATGAAAATAAAGTCTACAAAATGAACATTAACAAAATTAAAGTAGTAGAAACAGGAGCTAAAGTTTGCCATGATATTTATTTCAAACGTAGATACTGGGGATTCAAGTACCAGGGGGGCCAGACATATGTACAAAACTTTGGAGATAATCTTATAATTTTTGAAAATAAAGTCTACAAAACGAACAATAACCAAATGAAAGTAGTAGGATGAAAGTAGTAGAAACAGGAGCTAAAGTTTTTTAGTAAGCTCATTCAAGCTGATTTAACAGAGAACAGAGTGAAATTATCTGCGCAGGCGCATTGCTTTGGCGGAAGCAGTATGTGCAGCAGGCGGAAGCTGTGACGTCCTTTCTGCTCCGGGACTGCCATCATGGTAAGTTGGCCATGAGGATTTTGACATTATTAAATGTTTTTTTCTTCCTAAATATGTTGTTGCAAGGCCAACTAACAACCACATATGTGTTTATAACATATCCATAATCACATATATCAAACATTTTATAGAATTACGCGTGTTTTAAGTCCATAAGTACTTTATTTAAGATGTCGGCTACTGTTGGTAACACAACGTGGTCTACCGAGCTAAGAGGCCGCAAAGTAGAGGATGAAGGAAAATCTTGCTGCTTGTTTCTCTACTCCACCTTAATAACCGTAGTAGAAAGTCGATGTCCTCGGTCAATTTAAATGCATCATGTTTGCGTATTATTACAACCAGCTTTTGCGAAATGCCAACATAAGCTTAAGCTAATCGTATGTAGCTAGCACCGATAGTGCAGCGTTGATCCCGGGCTGGTCTGAGCCGAACAACCAACTACTACCCGATGTTTGTAGACACGTATGCTGTCTATGTTTACATTGTAACCTATAAAACTCAAACGAACCCTGTCCCCCACAGGTGTTCAAGCGCTTCGTTGAGATCGGCCGTGTCGCCTACGTCTCTTTTGGACCCCATGCTGGCAAGCTGGTGGCCATCGTAGATGTTATTGACCAGAACAGGGTGAGTCTTAAGGATACGACACACATTCCAGTTGTTGGTCTCTTCGTTGGAATGTCTGTTGACCATGTAGTCGTGTCTTTTCTTTCTCAGGCTCTCATTGATGGTCCCTGCACAGGCGTGAAGAGGCAATCTATGCCCTTCAAGTGCATGCAGCTCACAGACTTTGTCATCAAGGTTCCACACAGGTGAGTTGGGCAACGTGATTATTATTATTGTCGCTCTATTAAAAACAGTGGAAGATAAATGGTGACCCAACGGGTGTTTTGCTGTTTCTGACATAAATCCCCAAATGCTCGTCATGTTTTTTAAAATTATAAACAACGCAAAATGTGCATGTGACTTCACAAAATGAAAACACTACTTAACTGATTATTGAAGTAGTATTTATAGGTACAGAAAACTTAGTAGCCCTACAATAAGATACGATAAAACCAAAAACTAAGTAAGACGTAAGTGTGATCTACAAATGGGAGTCGCACCGTTTGCTTCTTAACTCATTTTTGGACTGTTTTGGTTGTTTGTTCTTACAACTTTAGTCTGTTTATTGTTAATGCTTATACACCTTGGTCCACAGTGCCCGCCAGAAGTTCGTGAGGAAAGCCTGGGAAAAAGCCCAAGTCAATGAGAAGTGGGAACAAACCAGCTGGGCCAAAAAGATTGAAGCCAGAAAGAAGGTATGTTTTTTTTCCTGTTTGTTATAGTAAGAGCTAATAATTCATTTTGCAAAAACAGCTGCATATGCAAGAAATTTTATCCTACTGTGTTGATGAGATTTGTTTATTTGTAGAATCGTCTTAAAATCCGTAAACACTGTTTCGCTATATGTACATGTATTTAAAGTACTATTTTTACTATTTTGTCACATTCTGGGTTGCATTTTACCTATTGGATCTTAGCTAGGATTCATGCTTTTATGCTGTCATTGAATAACTCTAAAGAAATGACAGAAGTAATACTTTTGGGAGTCGGCCAATCTGCAGACCACTTACCAAGGCTTTTCTGTGACCACATGGCAGTAGACTTGCTTAAACAACTAAAAATACAGATGTGGGTGAAGTTGTTTCACTGCCTTTAAAACCAGTAGATTACAATGTAAAGTTGGTATTTGACACATGATCTTCACCACGACGCAGAAGCAGTTGCGTAAAGATTTTCTTTGCCTCAAACTTCTCATTGGCACTGTTTTGTGGCAGACTGGAATGTTTTGATACCTTTTAATGATTTTAGAAAGTTGCAGTTTGTGTAATTCTCCTGGCTTAAGGATTCCCATTGTTTTAATGATGTCTAAATCAAGTGATTTCATTTCTACAGATACAGTCTTCGATTCAATTTCCTCTTAATGTGTCAAGAACTTTAACTTTTCAAATTAGTGACGGCTTCCTTTTCATATTTTCAGAGGGCCAACATGTCTGACTTTGACCGCTATAAGGTGATGAAGGCCAAGAGAATGGTAAGACTTTGTTTTTTTATTATTCGAAAAACAAGACTGTCTATTTTGAAATAAATATTTCTACAATACTGGTCAAGATGATCTGAAATTGTTTTATTGATACCCAAATACAATCATCACCCAATATACTCTGGTCAAAAACATATTGAACTAATACTTGATAGCGCTAAACATGGAATTTTTACAGTGTTTGAATTGAAGGCATCAGCTGAGACCAGTTGCACATTTAACAAATTTTATTGTCATTGTAAGGCTATAATGAAATTGCCTTTATATCTGAATGACTTGTGGGAAAGTTATCGAGAACACGTCCTGGAAGCAGAGGCTGGATTTGTGTAGGCAGTGTGCCAAATGTTGCATTATAAAGATGAGAATAATTGTTGTATTAATATTGAAGATGTTATATAACAAAATAGATTATAATTGTGGAATTCTGCTTCCTAGTGCTGTTTATATCCCTGTATTTATTCACTAGTAGTAGGGACTTTAAATATAAAATATTTTATTACATGCCTATTGAACTGTTGGTGTTTGTATTCACAACCTGATAAATACATCAATAGGTCATGTCGTTGTTTGGCAGCGTGCAGTTCTCATCGTGCAGTCATTTTAAGTCAAAATATTATATTTTTTTTGTACGGTGCAATGTGATTTGGATGGCCAATATTATATTTTACATACATTTAATGCAAAAAATAGAAAGACAGAAGCTCATTCTTAACATTGAAGTGCAGTTGTGTGTTGGAAATACTGCCACAGTACTGAGATTTTACGTACATTTAATGCAAAAATAGAAAGACAGAAGCTCATTCTTAACATTGAAGTGCAGTTGTGTGTTGGAAATACTGCCACAGTACTGAGATGATAGTGACTGATATTGTGTGTGTGTCTGTCTGTCTGCAGAGGAACAAAATCATCAAGCATGAGGTGAAGAAGATCCAGAAAGAGGCAGCAAAGAAGTGAATTCTCCAAACAAAATAAATTTCTTGTTGACTTGTTATTGCGTCTCCCTTTCTGTGACCACTTGGCAAAACATGTGACCGCTTAATTATTATTATTTTTAAATTATTTTGTTTGTGGACATGGTACACAGTCTGCTTCCAAAACATCCTCCTTCTGATTTGATTAGGGCCAGGGTTTAACATTGTTTGTGACTTGTTGTCTTCCTTTTATAAGAAATCAAAATTAAAATGAACCAACCCAAAAGTTAATTATGAATTATAGCACAGAGTAGTTATGTATGCTAACATACCTACTATTCAAATGACCAAGCTGATGTGATCTACCTACATTGACAATTATAAATATATACAATATTGTATAACCAGAACATACTTCATGTATGCATTATATGTTGGGTTGCATGTAGCTGTATAGAACAATATGATTTAAATCTTAACTGTTTATGGTCACTACTACATACTATAGGATTATATATGTGTGATGTATGACATCTATAAAGTATGTTAGACACAAGACAAGTATTAAACGCATCCCTAAAAATATATAATAGTAAAAGAAATATATATAGTAGAAAAGGGGGGCGTAAATGGACCTATGTCTTTTACTTTCTATTTAGCCATTAGATGGCGGTCTAAGGCAGTGATAGAGTTGATCACGTTGTAAATCTATTAAAACCAGTAAACTTGTACAATATGACGTTTTGACGTGAGCAATCCCTGGAAGGGTTTTCCAGCCAGATTTTTAATTCAAGGAATAAAATACTAGGAAGTTGTCACTCAGCTACACCTTAAACACCTACCTTTAATAGGTTTGTCAATGTGTTAAGTTACATAACACAAACTTGAACTTTGCCCCATAGCACAAACACACCAGGTACATGCATTCAGCGGCCAAATATGACTAACCCTTCACAGTACAGTACACTTACTTCATAGTATAAGGTGTAAGGGTTACTGTACTGTCACAGGAAGAGCTAATAATAATACTGATATATTGTTCTTCTAATTTTTCTCATGTATTTGACCCTTATTTACCCAAGCGTCTTTTACGTGCCGTACTACAGTATTTAAGCTCCTTAGGGAGAAAAAAACTACACCTAAGCACAGTCGTCATTCAGTCACAAACCATGACAAGTCTTTTAATTGTTAAATTACCACGAAGCCTGATAAACACGCTCTTCTGTCACCGTAGCTCTGACGTCAAAGTTGAACGGCGCTCAAGCGCATTAACCACACAGATGTCATTGATAGCAAACCTTACCGGAAAGAAACCAAACGTCCCTTCATATTAAAAGCCTCACAAACAGTAACGCGTTAACATGGACCATGCGTATTATTATTATTGTTATTAATATTATTATAAAACATTTACATGTTGTCAGGCCGGGTGCCATTATTACCACAACAGTAAAATAGTAGTAAAATATATACATACACCACCTTGAACATTGTTTTATATCTGAAAGAACACACACATACAAAGTATGCAAAGATATATAATTACTGTAAAAAGCCACAAATGGTTTGACTACCATAGTCTGAGAACCACTGGCCTACTGATTAATCTTGGACTATTCTTCTGTCGCACTCATTTCCGGTTTTAGCCGCTTGCTGCGTTAGCTTGACGCGAGGGAAAGTGCAGGGGAAAGAAATGGTGGGAGGGAGTAACAAGGAGGTTGGGTTGACAGTGTGACAGATATACACAGCCGCTCTGGGCTTCGTCTTCGGCCGTTTGGCGTTTTGTCGGTGTCGGTCGGTGAGATAAATATCGCTGAATTCCAACGTCGGTTTTAACCCGCCGCAGTGAGTGGAACGGCAGGCGTTTCGGCGCTTCCTACAACGGTGAGTAGAGCTACTGTAGTCGGTGTGTTCAGTGTGATGCTGGAGTCACACGGTGTGTCAAGTTATTGGGGCTCTGCTGAATTTAATCAATGGCGCATTATTGTTGCGCATTCGTACGTGCCGCCTTTATAAGTGTGTGTTGGCTGACGCTGGTTAATGGCCGCTCGTCATCACTAATGTTTATGTTGTTGTGGCTGCAGGCAGCAGCATGTTGACAGGGGGGCGGGGGGGAAGCGCGAACGGCAGCACCTTTGCAGTGTTCATCAGGGGCGTTGCAAATAGGCTGACGAAACAGGGGCAGCCACACAGGGCCCCAGAGATGAGCGAGGGCCCCCGAGATGAACTGAAGGCCACTGTGATGCTCTGTGTCAGTGAGGATTTCAAGGTCTATGTTAAATAAGTGTGGGAACTTTAATTAGTCTTTGTACAGTCCTCTGTAGTCCCAAGCCCCATGGTTCCCAGTGTAAATTAATTTGGTGACAGTCCAGGTATTTTCCATGGTAATGTGACACTCAGAAAATATAGGACCATCAGCTAATATGCGATGAATAGTATATTATAATTAAACAGTAACTCAGCTATTTGCTATTGAGGGATGGTGGAACAATTACAGGGATGAGTACCACATTGTGAGTACCACACAACTCAATCAAGGCAGTATTATTTGTGTTGCCTAAATTGAGAAAATCCATTTCTGTCTCAACAGGGTTTTACAGTTTTGACATGAACATAAAAATGTATTGAAAATATATTGAAATCCTAAAAAATATATATATAGAGAGACACACAACTTTATTTTGAAATACCCTAAATAAAAAAATATATATGGAGAGACACACAACTTTATTTTGAAATAATATAAACAAGACAAAGTGGTGGTTAGTTAATTATTATTCACTGCATTAATGCTTCCATTGTATTTGACCAGGAAACACCTTTTCCTGTGTAGCAGCAGTTTGACAACCCTGTTATTATCTGCTATCTGACAGGCTATTAGAAAGTAGCGGCTATCAGCTGAACAGTCCCTGACCCCTCTGCTGACCCCGCACACACACACAAAAACTTGTAAATCAATATCTGCCAGCACTGTGTGAATAGTTATGCAACCAACTGCGAGGTATGTACAGCAGGTCCTTTCAGTACTCTGGGTAAATGTGTCAGGTACTCTGGACTTTACATATGGTTTCATGGAAGTAACCAAGTTTGTACAAAGGGATTATTTAGATGAGTGTTTGTAGAGTTTGTTTCTATCTATCTATCTATCTATCTATCTATCTATCTATCTATCTATCTATCTATCTATTTAGCACATACTGTATATACATACAGTATATTGACATAAATATATACATATATGTACATATATACATATAAAGTAAGATAGCAAGTGCTGCTTTTTACCAGATAAATAATAAGGAATAATTAAACGGTAGCCATATATAGCATCAAGGTATCAAATATTACTCCAATATTTACTAAAACCAGTGATAATTACACCAATAGTCCAAAGGTAATTTTCAAACAGTTTAAGCTTTGTCCAAAAGTCTGCACAGGGATAACTTGAAAAAAATAGCTATAAAAACAATTAAAAAGTTAACCAAAAGTGACGTTAAAATCGCAAATATAAAAAAGAAATGTGACTCAAATTAGTACAATTAACGCACAAAATTATTATTTTTATTTTATATCCACCACCTTTTTTCAAATTACGATTAAAAATGCCACACACACTTCCTAGGGGTTGCCAGACATTTGCGATGTCAACATGAGTGTTACAAGCCCAAATAAGTTTGGGAACCACCAATGTAGACCTGTGTACCTGGTCTTGTATAAACCTAGCAAAACAAGGCAGTGTCTGTTACAGATACAGTTGTACTAACTGGCCTAACACATCGCATCTTTACAATAGCCCGCAATTATCCCGCAGTTATCTCACCTAACCGGCTCTGTTGACCTAAGCAGTGTGTGTGTGTGTGTGTCATGGTATGAACACACCCGGTCGGCACCTGGATGTTGTCAGTGCAGGCGAAGTGTCAGAAGATTTCTGCAGAGACAGTGATGGACCGAGATGTCGGCCTCTGATTATCGGAGATACGTGAGTCATTCGGTTGACGCTGTGGCACATCTCCAACTGAGAATCACTCAGAAACCCCAAAGTGTTCCTCAGGCTTTTTTCCATTTCACTCGCACAACCGCAGCCTGTAAACTATTACTCCTGCTGTGCCGTACTGTATGTAGTCGTGTGGGAAGCTGTGTTCCCTGGCAACAGTATTTGGGTTCCTCTTATCTCCTTGTTTTCCAGGTATGTTAGACACACCTAGGGAGAAGTCATTTTAAAGCAATGCTTGCCCTCACCTGTATGTGTGTGTAGGTGTGTTTTTTTTTTTTTTGTCAC